TATATATACTGTATGCATGAACCACTTTTTACTTTCCTGTAATTTTTAGATTTATTTAAAACACGTTTTTCCCACATTATAAACTTTATTAATCTGAAGGATTCTGAGTACGTACAAATGTAAAACAACTTTTGTACAATTCTAGAAAGCTCCAAGTTAATTTTTCAACTATAGCTGCGTTTCCATTGAAAAAGTGCGCAAAACTTTGTCGATATTCTGTTAATGTCGAAAAACACAGTTTCGCAARTGRNGTGTTTCCATTAAGTAAGAAATGCTATTAAAGTCATGCGTGAATATGTTTGTTCTCGCGAAAAGTCATTACAAACATGGCGGCAATGGATGTAAACGCATAGCATGTTGCTACCACAACACTAGCGCTCATCATCAGAGGAGACATCGGCGTCTTTTATCGAGGCTTTCCAGTGACAAGCCCCTACTTGGGAGCAGCTATGTATGCTGTGTTTTTGGGAAATTGTAGTCTGTGAGTTTACTATTTTATACTACTTCTGTGATATTACTACTACTTCTACTTCCTGTTATCTTCTTCTTCATCATCTTTTTTGCCAGTAGAAACAGCCGGTTGTTGATCACGTGACTCCCGTGATGCGACAAAAGTGTTTCCATTGCAGTTTTGTGAAAAACACCAATTTTGATACAGCCGAAAACCCAACTCATCCTAGCACAAAAACATTTTGTCGAAAAATGTAATATTTTTCGAAATTGACGTGTTTCCATTGAGCAAATTTATTTTCGAAATTCTAATTTGTGCATTTTCATGGTCAGTGGAAATGCAGCTACTGTAAAACAAGATTTTCTCTTTTTTTATTTTATCTTCATAAGGCTTCCTGAAGAATAGTCCAATTCTCTGCAGTAAAAGTTCTGTTTTTCTTCTGTCCTCAGGTGCCGTGCTGTAAACCTGTTTTTGTTTAGACAGTCAACATGTGGTATGTTTACTGTGTGTACAGAAACAGCTAATGCTGACATTCAGTCAGCCTGAGTTAAGGCAAACCTAATGAATCACAAGCAGTGTGCAACACCTCCAACAGGGTTTCAGCTCCAGCAGGTCTCAAAGACTTTCTGGAGTCTCTGGTTCTGGACTTCCTGTTCCTTTCAGAACAACTTGGTCCAAGGTTTATTGTTTATTAAGCTGGTCAAGTCAATATATTTTTTTGTTTATGATTATTGCGTCACTGTAGCTGCGTTTCCATTGCAAATGTGCGCAAAACTTTGTTGATATACTGTTAATGTCGAAAAAACACAGTTTCGCAATTGCAGTGTTTTCATTAAGTAAGAAATGCTATTAAAGTCACGCGTGAATATGTTTGTTCTCGCGATAAGTCATTACAAACATGGCGGCAATGGATGTAAACGCATATTACTACCGCGACACTAGCGCTCATCATCAGATGAGACGTCTTTTATCATCTTTTATCGAGGCTTTCCAGCGACAAGACCCTACTTGGGAGCAGCTACGTTTGCTGTGTTTTTGGGCAATTGTAGTCGGTGAGTTTACTACTTTCTTTTACTACTTCTGTGATATTACTACTACTTCCTGTTATCTTCTTCTTCTTCATCTTTTTCACCAGTAGAAACAGTTGGTTGTTGATCACGTGACTCCCGTGATGCAAAAAAAGTGTTTCCATTGCAGTTTTGCGAAAAACACCAATTTCGATGCGGCCGAAATACCACCTCATCCTAGTGCAAAAACATTGTCGAAAAACGTATTTTTTTTCCGAAATTGACGTGTTTCCATTGAGCAAATTTGTTTTAGAAATTCTAATTTGCGCATTTTCATGGTCAATGGAAATGCAGCAAATGAATTTCAATTCATGTCAAATTTATAAATTTGAAAGTTTTAACCTGAACCCTCAATGTACTGTCCGCGGTACATTTCCAGTTTGAGGTGTTTTCCTGCCTCTTTAAAGACTGACCCACACGTTACCAGGGACTTTGAATTTGCATAATAGGCAGTTCATTCGATCCGACTGGTTTTCTTCTTTTGACCGACACCTCTCTTGATCATCTGGGTTCATCTATAGGCTGTGTCTCAATTCATGGGCTGCATCCTCCTGAGTATGTAGCCCAGCTGGGCCACATCCTTCCCAGTCTGGGTAGGCTGCATGAAACTGCTGTGAAATGAGACGGTCTAGCCTTCTTCGCTTGACAGAAGTTTGTGCGACAATGCTCTACCCTGTTACCAAATTTTAAAAAGTAATAGTGGTTTTAGTGTATTTTAACATCAATAAATACTAGTTACAGAAAATTATGACTGATGAAATTAAAATTTCTGATTGATAGCTTTACATAGAGACTAGGCTTGTGAATTCACTCCAAAGAGTTTAAGAGCAATACCTAATTTAATATGGGTTAGAGTTAGGCCTGCAGGTTAACAGGTTAAACCAAAGTGCATAAATAACTTAACTGGCTCATGACTCCTGTTTCCAGGTGAATTTTAAGTTATAAAGATGGTATGGGAGGTTAGAAAATAACAAAGCCTTAAGCTAGGAAACATGTTGTTAGAGGTAATTAAATCAATTAAAGTACTGTGTCTAGTATTTAAATAAACATGGTTTCTATAACTAAGGGTTGAATCATGAGTCTCAAAGGTGAAAATTAAGACTAAGCTAGTGCAAAACTGAAAATTTGACTTCAGACAAACAACTTAAAGTTTGAAACTTGAGTTTCTGAAAAGATTACAGAATTAGTAACATAAAAAAAATTACATAATTAATATCACATATTCCATGGCTTCAGTGTAGGGTATTATTCTGAAATGTGAACTGAATCAGATTAGGAGTATAATTCACCACAAACGCATCAGTCTAATTTAAATTGGTTGATGTTACTGACATATGATCCTGCCAACTATCAGATGGTAAAACATTAAAAACAATAAACAGATTTGTCCATGAGTCAAGTACAGACATAATCAGATATTCATAAAAGCATGAGTTGTGAGTCATCTTACCAGAACTGAGCTCAAAGTCATCCAGCAATTTGTCCAAATCACAAACAGCTGCTTTAAAGAAGCTGTCCATGTTGGGCTGCAAAATGAGGCCTTCGATCGCTCAAAAACCTACAAACAAACAAAATACTGCAATTATATAACAAATAAACACAAAGCATTTCAAAACCTGGACTATTTATAAAAATGAAATATAAAAACACTTTAAAAAATTTTCTCCATATGAGGAGAAATGTTGCCAATTTAATCCAACATGACATCTAGGCATTTTCTGAGACAGGAGAACTACTGCAAACAATACTACAAATTCTGACAAAACTACTGCAGACAATACTACAAAGTCTGACAAAACTACTGCAGACAATACTACTGCAAACAATACTACAAAGTCTGACAAAACTACTGCAAACAATACTGCAAAGTCTGACAAAACTACTGCAAACAATACTACAAAGCCTGACAAAACTACTGCAAACAATACTACAAAGCCTGACAAAACTACTGCAAACAATACTACAAAGCCTGACAAAACTACTGCAAACAATATTACAGTCTGACAAAACTACTGCAGACAATACAAAGTTAGACAGTTTAAAGGAGACCAATTATGGGTCCTAGAAATTTTTATGGTATGTCTGTGGGCTATCCAGACCATGTTCATTCAATTTAATGCACAAAAATAATTCTCAGATAATAAAATTTCCCATTTTCTAGTTCTGCCTGTTCTGACTTCCGTTCAGAAGAGCTGTTTATGTTAATGAGCTCTGTTAGTAACGCCCTCCAAAAATCTGTTGACATTAACTCCGCCCTCCAAAGTCAGCGTTTACGTTAGCATGGCTAATAATAGCAGAAGCTCTGTTGTACAACCATATGAGACCCAGAGGCAGAGTCGGTCGCAGCTTCTTTTTTTTTCTCTTCTCACTCCTCTGCTCTGCGCTCACTCTGCATGCTGTTACCAGAGCAGGGAGCAGCAGCGGTGAAAATACCTCAGAAACTCAAACAGATAGGCTTTAACAAGGCTTTAATAAACTAAGCAATACAGGTACATGAGAAAATGTGTTCATAACGAATGAAAATAAATAATTAAATTGTGTCCATGCCGGTCTCAAACCCTGGTCTCCCGCTCCCTGGTCCAACACACTACCCATTGCCCTATTGGAGGCTTGTTGTGAACTGAGCTGTGCATTGCACAACAACAACCATGACGGCTTTTTATACTGAGGAGGAGTCTCACCCGGGGGTTGCTAGGTAAGGGGCTGAACGCAGGTTCCGGTGGGTTGTCGTATGGCTTGTGACATCACAAAATGATGGAAGTATAAAACTTGTCATTAATATACATTAAAAATACATTAACTTACAGAAAATATGCCCCTGGGGTGCATTTTTTGGTCCCAAGACTGTTTTTTTAAGAAGTACATACCCAAAGTTGAGTAAAAAAATTTTAAAAAAGTGAATTTTGCATTATAGGTCCCCTTTAAGAATATTTTTATTTCTGTGTAACAACTAGAACATGTAATGCAACATTCATTATGTCAAACATATTGATGAAACCTAAAACCTAAAAAATGAAATAAAATTAAATCTTAATGAGCACAGTTTTCTTTTCACTGACAAACCAGTTTCATAACAGGCATACCAGAACGAACCATGAGTTTCATTTCAACATTCTTTGTATTTCCTGAAATGTTTTGAGGTTTTGAAAACCTTTGGTTGTCTTACAATCACCTGACATCCTGAGCCGGACTAAACAAGTTTGTCTTAAGAGCAACGTCAGAATTTTCTGGTTTCGGTTTGTTCAGACGTCATGCTGCCTCCAGGTTCAGAGCCATGAACAAGTTCAAAACAGTAAGAGTTCACAGGAAGGAAAAATGTTTGATTTTAAGTGTTTGTTACAGAGCATGCGCGTGTACGCACACACACACACCTTAAAAATAAAGACTGTGATCAACAATGATTTGCTAAAACAACCTCTATAAACAAAGTGGACAAATATTAGGATGGAGTTCATTTTACTCAGACAATAAACAAATAAATTCTGATGAAACACAGCTTTAGTGTGACTAAAAATAACTAAACAACTAAAGGAAAGGATGAAACACTTTCTATGAATAGCTCAGCTTGACATGACTGAACAGGTTTTTTAGAAGAAGTTTAAAGCAGCTCTGAGCAACAATTAAATGTAAGCTGAGAGGCTGTAATTATCTAAATGTATTGTCATCAATGCTTGATCCTATATAGAATGATGAAATTTGTGCTCTACGTTTGACCCATCACACGTCAGGTACACAGAAGTGGAGCAGAGGGCAATTCTAAGCACCCAGGGAGCAGTTAGCAACTACGTCTTGCTCAAGGACAGCAAGATATGAGGCAGTGAATTGAACCAGTGACGTTCTAGTCCGAAGTCAGCTGCCCATACAGTATTATTTAAAATAAAAATCTTATCTGAATGAACACTCTTCAGTTTTAACTAAACAGCTCTCTGCTGTAGAATAAAAAACTAACAGTGACTCATTGGTTCCAGTGGAAAATTAACATTTATGTTTAATTTTAACATTTACTGCAATCTGCTTTTTCTTTAAAAGGGGATAGTCTGTCCAGTAGGGTTGGGCATAATCGTATCGTGTGCAATTAATCATCAGAAAAACATTAATTGATTATTTTTTGCACTTGATGATTAATACGATTAATGCCACCAGGCAGAGTCCGCTCGCTGCTCCTCTCTGCTTCAAATATGACAAACTTTAAAAAAAAGTTCTGTAATTTATTTATCTATCAACATAATTTTAAATTTGATGTATAGCCTGAAGTCTGTAATTTCAACACAAATTGGAACAGATTTTTATGAAGAGCAAACGTTTCCCATTAAATTAGTCATGTGACCAGGACATAAGGGTGTCCAGGGACTCCAGGGGATTAATCGTCAAATTCATCGTTATCGGCTAAATACCACAATTAACGTGATTAATTCTTTGCCAATATTGCCCAACCCTACTGTCCAGTTTGAAGTGAGTTTCTGTTGAAATTTATAAGTAATTAACATATTACCTGTTGTAAATATTTTCACGAACAGCCCAAGTTTTGAGAAATAAAGTTTACCTCCAACAGGACTGACGAGCTAAGAGATACTCCCATCAGTCTACATCAGACTGCTGCTGTCGTAAAACATCAGTCTAAAAACATTCAACCATATGTAATAATGAAAAAAGATATGAGTATTAAAATTGGATTATTTTAAGATGACATAAATCTACTTTGCTCATGGCTAAATGATTTCTGTTGAATCTAAAATTGAATGACACCACCTGTGGCCAATGGGCTTATGGGGAAATTAAACAGGAAGTGACACGCCCACTAGCTGCAGCAACTGTTGGGCCTTTACCTTTGACAAACTTGTCCAGATTTCCATCACTAATGCTGTGAGCTTATAGCATCTTTTAATGAAAAGAGAGGGAAATGTGCGATTCAGACACGTTAAGTGGTTGGAGGGTGGAATACAGTCTACTTTTTCCCCAAAACCTAAACAAAGTGTGGAGAAGTGCAAACGATGGAGGCTCACAGCCATCCTCTCAGGTGAATACAACGAATATAAGAGAGTGTTTTTAAGTCTCACCTTAAAATACATCTGTTTTCCAGAACTTTTAATTTAGCATGAGAGTTGGCTATTTCCACTTTTAAAGTTTTTTGTTTTGTTTTTCTTCTAGTTGTAATATGTGAAGCACATTGGCCAATGACAGTTTCTAAATGTGCTATATAAATGAAGTAGACTTGAGATACACGGGACCGATCACAAGTTTATTTGAACAAAAATAACAGAAAGTACAATGAACTGATTTTATATATTGTGTTAGACTAATATTAACTCTGTTAATAAAAGGTTAATAATTAAATACTGCTGCTGGTTCTGAGACTTCGAGTCACAAGTTTAGTCTTTGACTGGTTAACAATGGACAAATTAACACATTTAATTTGTTGTGAGACGTGAAATTTTTACTCCAAGTACAAATCAAAATTAACTGTAGTTCTAACCATGTATTACTGAGTTAAATGAGGTGAGATGCTGAACCAGTGCCCCTACATGTTTTAAGTTTGTTGTGTTTTGAGACAAACCACGATGGATAATCTAGGGATGTTGACATTTCATCAGCAGCTGCTGCCATTTTCTTCCCAAACTGCTGTGACCAGATTTTGCGAGGCTGCTCGGTGCGTTTGCTTGTAATTTCCTCCTGCTTCGTTATTTCTACGAATTTCAACAAATCGGGCTGCCGTCAGGTAGTTAGCTACAGCCTCGTCTTCCAGTTTTAATTGTTGTTGATGCGTTTTGAAGAAATTTTTTTGAAAAGAGGATTAAAGTAAATCACCTGAGTTTTTCTAGTGACCCCTTAAAGAGATAAGCTGCCATGAAGACCATTATTTTATCTGCCCTTCTTCCAAATTTGATAATGATTTGAAACGTCGAAGTATTTATTTTTATCCAGAACAGCGCTTGTTGCAAAGTGTTTTGACGCTCGTCTTCGTCACTTGACACATTTAACACTGTCATTGGTTGAGGAGCTTTGTTTACAAAACAGATGGTTTTTAAATTGTTTTAATTTCCTTACTTTCTAAGACACATTAAGTTGATTTGATGCTACAGTTTGCCTTGTAATGTTATTTTATATCTTTTCTGCTACTTTTGAATTGGCTATCATTAAGTTTTATTAGTTTTTTAGGATACAAGATGCTTCCTACAAAACCAGAATGGGAATCTTTTCCTAAAATTTCATGGCGATATCTTGAACACTGAGGAAGTTATGAGCAAAATTAGAAAACAGCAAGGTGAAATGGTCACAAAGACCCCATTGGTTCTGCTGTGAACTGCAGCAAGAAAACATGAGCTGATTTCACCTAAACAAACATCAATAACTTTCCCTTGTACTTCATAAAATCACATGATTTTGGTGTTATTTTGTAGGGTTTGAAATGTTCTTTTGGAATAAGCTGTCAGATTTAATATTGGTGTAGGATTAAAAATTTATTCACATCCCTAGATAATCTGAAATGGTGTCTTAAAGGCAGTTTTACATTTGGTTTGTGTTGGTTGAAATAAACTGTCCCGTCTGAAAAATTATTTTTTCGTGTTACACTGAGCTTAATGAAATGTTGTTGTTGTTTACTCCGTCCTCGTGTTGTGTTGTCACGTTATGACCTCCTTTACAACATAATCTGACTACTCAGGAAAAGTTGATACCCATTATCCTAATGTCATTCTTTCTTTATTTACAGTTTCATAGAATTTAATACATACGGCACAACAAAGCCAAACTTTTGTTTGATAAATCACCAACCTGTGTCAGACATAAAAACCTGAGCAGTTCACTTAAGATCAGCGTCATCTCACAAAACTAAAACATCAGTAAAAACTCTCCTTCCATCTGCAAATAATTACTGTTAGACCGCAGCTCCTGTGGTTAAAAAAGTGTAGGTAGCATGTTAGGTGGATGTGCTTACAGGCTAATGTTGCTAACTAAAGAGGCTGTAGCTGAAGTTAGCATGTTCTTCAGCGGAGGGCTAGCAGACTAATTTTGCTAACCTCTGATTTGTTGGTGATTCTTCCTACCTGAACAGATTTACTCCATGACCCTCGCGGTTCCGGTTTGAAACGAAAGCGAGGGTCGTCGTGTCATCCTCCGCGTACTGAACAGAAGTAGTTCGACCAGCTAACTGTTGGATTAGTTTCACTAGTGAAGTGTATCCACTCTGGCGACCATCTTGGACAGTGTTGGCGCTGACGTCACAGGACGGCTCCGCTTTAGTGCGTTGGAAAATTATATCTTATAATAGTAATTAAATTAGGAGGAAATATGAACGAAACAAAACGATATACAAACGATAATATACCTTTAGGTTTCAAATAATCATAATCTATGGTGATGCATTCTAGTAAGACGAGAGGCAACTCTAAGAAACTGAAAAGACCGAGCTGAACTTGAAGTACCATGACGAAGCCACAGGTTAGGTATGGCAAACCGTTGAAACACATAATCATAACATGCGTCTAGTCGGACAACAAACAAGAAAACATGCGTCTTACAGTCGGACGTCCGATTACTTGGTCATGTGACCATGTTGTAGAAAGAGGCTGACATTCTGGTTTGGGGGGAAATAGGAAAAATGGTGAAAAGTTGCTGCAAAAGTGCAAGAAGGGAGAAATGGAAAGCTGTCAACAGACACGTCCAAAATCCAGATGGATCTGTAATTCCAAACAAGCTTTGGTCACCACAAAGCAAGCACACATAATGGCTGTTTGGTACATTTTATCACCGATATTGTATTTTTTGTTACTTTAAACTGTTTCTGAATGTCGATATACAGAAATGATTCATTAAAATGACTTAACGGGTGTTGGCTCCATGATTTCAACAACACTTTGGTAAAAAAAAATAAAGTAAATAAAAAACTAGTCACACACTATTGATAGGGCTCAGTTTTTTTAACTAATCAGTTTGATGTAGAAGTTCTTCCACATACAATTTCATTTACATACCTTTCATTTGGATTTAAAGGAACAGCATCAAAACGAGTTGATCTGAGACACACCTCAGTTCCACTGCATATAGACCACAGCTGAATGATTTAAATGTGAGAAAGAAGGATTTAAAAGTCTGACATGTCTCCTTTTAGCAAAGTTCATATTAGTATATAACATAGAATTTCTTCTTTTCAGGTGTATTCACAAGACCCACATTTTAACCTGCCCTTTACTGTAAATTTTTGCTTTGTTTTTTTATTTATTTTTTTCAGGAGAGAAGAGTAATCACCAGACCCATCCATCTTCCCTCAGCACCCTGAGCCGAGTGAAGTCAGTACTTACAAATCCACCTGAAAGGTTGCACGATATGAAAGAGCTGTATAAACACTTTAAAATCTCTTGGATTTGCATATAACAACTTAAAATGAGCTTAGATGCGTATTAAGCCGCAGCTTACGGCAGCACATATTCTCAAAAAAAGACAGGTGGTGGGAGGAGACCCAGAGGAAGTCTGGCCTGGGAACACC